TTTTCGCTTGATTTTCTCGTCAAGTTTGACGTATTTTCTTTTTCAAACGAACTGTAATTAAAGAAATTAGAATTCGTCCATTTTTCTCGAGGAGAATCTCGAGCAAAAGAATTCGAATCATTGATTCTATTTTGTAAAGATTCAATCAAAGAGTTTCTCAATAGGATCAAAGATTCATTCAATTTTTCATTGGGCGTTTTCATGTGATCGTAATTATGGAAAAGATTTTTTTTGCCGGTACGACCGGAAAGCGAATGTTTGTTGTTAGATTCTTTCGCAGATTCGTTTTCTAAAATTATTTGATCGCTTAATAAGAATTGCATTTCGGGTTCAGATAAAAATTGAATCGGTTTCCGTAGAAGCCTTGGATCTGGAGGTTTCCAAAGAATTAAATAATATGCACTTAAGGCAATGGCTACGAAACTTACAGAGAACATGTAAGCCATTACGGTGAATAAACGTATTATTTTCTTGCTAGTTTGATTTTCAAAAATATCCGTATTTTCATTATTTTCCGGAGATTTATTTTCTCCATCAGCTTCTTGAGGACCACCATCACTATTTTCCTCTTTACTCATTGTTACTTTTTTTTTTTTTTTATAACCAATTTTAGAAAATTAAATTTCTGATCGAATTGCTTGTAATTGTTTACCAATTTCTTTTCTAATCATTCTCGTTTCTATTTTTATCTTTATTAAGATCTTATTTTTTTTATCCTTATTATCATCGTCATCTTGAAGAAATACGAATTTTACATTTCACAGTAGTTTAAAATAAAAATTCCACCGAATAAATTCACTCGTGCAATGAAACCGATCTTTCGTTGATGTTTTGTATTTTCCATTAATTTAATTTCAATTACACGTAAATATAGATTTTGCAATTAATTTTTATTTTTTAATTAATATCCAATAAATTTTTGTTTTATTATACACAAACAAAAAATAAGAAAATTTTATTTTACAAAATAGAATATGAAAGAGAATATATTGTAGGATGCGCTTCGGCAGCGAAAGCTCGTAAGACTGCAATTCTGAACAAACGTTCGTAGAAAAGTTCCTTCCTTTGCCACGTGTTTGAACCACGCGCAAGCGTCCTTAAGCCGTATTACGTATTAACGATAATTATATTTTCCAGTGGTAATTTATTAGATCGAAGTGTTTATTCAGTATTATCATAGAATAAAATTAAATATTATTGATTAACATATTGTTGCCAAATATTCGAAGACTTGGATTTTGGATCGTCCCAAACATTAGGATCTTTTTGAATTAACCAATTTTCGAAAAATTCAGAATTTTCTTGTTGGTTTTCCGATACTTTCTCCTTATTATTTTGTTCATTTTTCAATATTGGTTTCTCTAACACTACTGTTTCCGATGATTTTGATGATTTTTTGCTAGTCCATGTATAAACCAATTTTTCATCTTCTTGATCGTGTAAAATATTTTTATTGTACGACTGCGAAGGCGATTGTTTTATAGTGTTACAACTACATATCTCTAAGGAAGTGTTAACAGCGATTGAATTTTTTTCGAATTGGTTATTATCGAAAGTTTTTATTCTATCATTTTGAAATTGTTTCGTAAGATTCTAACAAGAAAATTTTCATAATTATTTTATACATTATTTATAAATAATTTTTTTTTTTTTTATATATAAAATATAGAATTATTATACCTCGGAATTTGATTGCGCCGATGAATTATGGGTACTTGATTCTCGAAATTGTCGAGAGTTTTCGTCCATTCTAGGATTTGGTGCGTATGATAAATTTGGGACGCATTGTTGATTGTTCAAAATTGTGAAAATTTGCGTCAACAAATCATTTGAACCTTCAAAATGGGGAATTGTTGTTTGAATGCTTTGTCGTGCGATCAATGAATTTAACGCCGGCATCAATGCTGGAGCGTAAAGTAACACTGCGAGTCTGTCAAATGAAAAGAAACATGAAGATGATCAAAATTTCTCTTTCTTATTTTTTTATTTATTTTATACCTTAATAATTGAATGGTAAAGCCATTGGGATCTAACATGGAATTCCAGGTAGAAGGTTGTGTCATAGGAGTATAAGCGGTATGAACGTTGCTACGTGGAGTCGGAATTCTCTTATGCATTTCTTTCTTTTGTTTTTGAACAATTCGCGTAAATTGTCTCGATGAATCGTTTGCACGTGTTCTTCCATAAGGTAATTTTTTCGTGTAATTGTTCCAATAATTACGATTACCTAGAAATATTTCACGAATACCAAAAAAAAAAAAAAAAAAAAAAAA